GCAGGTGCTTTGTGTTTTGGTGTAAATATGTAGGTAAGGGGTTTGGGATACTAAAAGGTCACTGAAAGAAAAATTTCATAATTCGTGTCTGGTCAATATCTTTCTAATGAATAAACTTGGTATGTGAACTAATGAATAAACTTGGTATGTTCACATTTCACACAAAGATTCCTCATGACCTAAGGGTGTGTCATGACCTTGACCCAAGGAGGTCATTTGGGGAACTTCAAGGTCACTAAAAGAAAAAATTTCATAATTTGTGTCTGGTCCATGTCTTTCTTATGGATAAACTTGGTATGTTCCCATTTCACACAAAAAAATTTCGTGACCTAAGGGTGTGTCATGACCTGGCCCAAGGTCATCTGTGCAAGTTTAAGGTCACTGAAAGAAAAATTTCATAATTCATGTTTGGTACATATCTTTCTTATGGAAGAACTTTAATCTAATACTTCACACAAAGATGGTTTATGACCTGAGGGTGTGTTATGACCTAGAGCCAAGGTCATTTAAGTTCAAAGTCATTGAAAGAAAAGTTTCATAATTCATGGCCAGTCCATATCTTTCTGTAGACCATATCGATAGATCTTGGGTTCCGTATTACATCAATAAGACACAAGTCAATTCTAAGGTTTGACCAAAATTTTAATCAAGTGCAATACTATAAGAAAAAACCTGAAATAAAGTCATAATAATTAATAAACATTCACAAATCCTTACTGACGTTACTTTTAATTACAAATATAATAGGAAATAGATAAGTTATAAATATATTTACCAGGCACACTATATAAATCAGCTACTAGATGTAGTATGACTATTCCCGTCAAGGGTGTAGCGCCGAGTGTGCATGAAAACTATTAGCCGCGGGAAAGTTAGTAAAAGTTATTAATAGAAACTGGTCAAACCGGAAATGGTCAAATACTTGTACGTCACACCTAACAAAAATAAACACTCACATGTGGACATTCACACAAACAGTAAACACACATAATAGAAATAATTAAAACTGAAACATTTAATTACTTACACTGGTTACATGTACATATTCCCCCCTTTTATTAAATGGCTCCTGACATTCTCTGAAATATCAGGCAAATGTTTCAATTCAAAGTGCGGAATCAACTCAATATCTATGTACAACAAATTCAACAATCCAGCAAATAAGCATAAAAATAAAATCAAACCAAATTAAAGAATCAAACACCATGTGAATCCATAAATGCATCACCAAAACACAATTCACTGACACTGAACACCAAACCTGCCTAAAACCTTTGACACATAAGACCTTGACATTACTGTCCAAGAATCATATCAACTGAACCAACCGATATCAAATGAATATGTTCAAATCAATCTCTGATTAAACATCAAATTTCATCAAGTATCAAATGATGATTGGGGATTCAATAAGGTTACACTGTATAAAATTATTACAGTATCAATTGTTTATCTTTAAATAAACAATGTGTATCAATGAAAGTAATGCATAAATTCATTTATTTAGAAAAATATTCACATAAGTCATAAAAACAATAATAAAACACTATCTTCACTTAAGAAGTCTTTGAATTCACTGAATTCACTAATCACTTTACTCCTAGTGTCTATTTTTTCCTTAACTTGTCCATGCATTCACCATACCAGTCTGGCTGCTTCTTAACTCTTGCTGAGCGACGAAGGGGCAGAGCTCTCTGTGACACTTCAGGTACACTGTCGTTAGCTTGACCTGGCTCATTTCCACTGTGGGATGAATCATTAACCCCGAAGACTGAAGTGATAAAGAATAATTACAATTATTGAAATCATTATCACTTAGACTAATACCTGAATAACTGTAACCTTCATCAACTACTGATGAAACATCTTGAATAGATGAGGACTGTACCGGTTTGTCTACTGTTGATCTTGTCCTCAATACTCTTCTCACTGTCCACTCTTCTGTGTCACTTTCACACTCTGTTCCTGATGAATCCGATGAATCAATTGTTGCTGCTGGCACCTGTCTATCCCTGCTTTCTTTCTTTGTCTGTTTCCATCTACTGTTCTGTTGTTTATACTGCACTTCCTCCCGCTCTTGAAATCCAGAATAAGGAAGAAGCATATTCCTATGCAGAGTCCTTGTTCTGCTTGTTTTACCCTCTGCTTTCACTCTGAACACAGAAACATCTTGATTTGGCATTTCCTTAACAGTATATACAGTTTCCTCCCACTTGTCAGCCAACTTGTTCTTACCCTTTAATCCACATTCCTTACCAAAACTTTATCCCCAGGCCCTAACTTTGTCTCTCTTACTTTCATATTATACCTCTGTTTGTTCTTTAAACCCGACTTTCTTGCCTCTTCAAATGCTATTGCATAAGCTGATTTCATCCTCTGATGCAGTTTTTCCACATATCCCCTTGGATTAACATCGCCTTCATTTCCTGGGTCAAGTCCAAGGAAAGAATCAATTGGAAGTCTTGGACTCCATCCAAACATCAAGTAATGTGGGGAAAAACCTGTCGCATCACTCCTTGTAGCGTTGTATGCTTGATCCAAGGGAGCAACATGTTGTGTCAGTCTTCTGTTTGGGATCCAAGGTACCCAGCATCTTCAAAAGTGTTTGGTTAAACCTCTCTGCCGATCCATTGCCCATAGGATGGTAAGGCGTCGTGCGGGTTTTCTGAATTCTTAGCAGCTTACAAAGCTCCTTAATAACTTTGGATTCAAAATTCCTGCCCTGGTCACTGTGCAGCTTTTCTGGAAATCCATAATGCAAAAAGAAATTCTCATATAGGGCTTTTGCTGTCACAGTAGCCTTCTGATTGCGGCATGGTATGGCCTGTGCAAAGTGCGTATAATGGTCAGTAATGACCAAAATATCCTCGGTCCCTCCTTTACTTCTCTCAAGACTCAAAAAATCAATACAAACCAATTCCATTGGATGTGTAGTTTCAATAGGAACCAACTCCGCAAAAGGCTTTGCTTGCATCTTGCGCCTTATGCATCTAGGGCAATTATCTATTTTCTGAATTATCTCCCTTTCCAACCATGGCCAAAAATACCTTTGTCTAGCTAACCATAATGTCTTTTCCTTCCGAGGATGACCTGTATCTCTGTGAATGCCTTGGAAAGCTACCTCCCGATATACCTCAGGGATCACCAGCTGACTTACCTCTCTGTCATCTATAATTGCCTTCCTGTAGAGAATTCCATCTTTCAAATAAAGTTTCATCCATGCCCGGAAAAATCTCTGGACTGAATAATCCTCTTTCTTCATCTTCACTTTATTGGGATAAAATCCTTGTTTCTTCAACTCTATAACTCTTGCTAGATCCTTGTCCTTCTCCTGCTCTCTTCTCCAGTTAATGTCACTGAGATAATGGGATTCTTCATCCTCAAAACTAGCTGAATCTGATAAAGAGTCATCTATAATAGTCTGGCAATATGGAACACCACATAATACCGACTGACATATGGCCTTAATAGCATCAGAGAAGAGCTCCGGCTTCCTAGACAACCCATCTGCATCAGCATTCTGCTGACCAGGTCTGTATGCTATTGTAAAATCATAGCCTGCTAAAGCAGCAACCCACCTTTGGCTAGTAGCATATAGCTTGGCTTAGAGAGCACATAGGTTAGGGGGTTATTATCAGTGATTACGTGAAAAGAAGTACCATAAAGATAATCATGAAATTTATCACTGACCGCCTATTTGAGTGCCAAGAACACCAGTTTGTAAGCTGGATAGTTCCTCTCGCTTGGTCTCAAACCTCTGCTGGCATAGGCTATCACTTTTCCTACCTTGCTGGACCTGGTAAAGAACAGCCCGTAATCCATGACTGCTAGCATCTGTATATATCTAGTCCCAACACAGGCACCATTTGTAGACCATGTCGATAGATCTTGGGTTCCGTATTACATCAATAAGACACAAGTCAATTCTAAGGTTTGACCAATATTTTAATCAAGTGCAATACTATAAGAAAAACCTGAAATAAAGTCATAATAATTGATAAACATTTACAAATCCTTACTGACGTTACTTTTAATTACAAATATAATAGGAAATAGATAAGTTATAAATATATTTACCAGGCACACTATATAAATCAGCTACTAGATGTAGTATGACTATTCCCGTCAAGGGTGTAGCGCCGAGTGTGCATGAAAACTATTAGCCGCGTGAAAGTTAGTAAAAATTATTAATAGAAACTGGTCAAACCGGAAATGGTCAAATACACGTACGTCACACCGAACAAAAATAAACACTCACACAAGACAACACAAACAGTAAACACACATAATAGAAATAATTAAAACATTGCAACTGAAACATTTAATTACTTACACTGGTTACATTTCTTATGAATAAACTTGGTAAGTTCCTGTTTTACACAAATATTGCTTATGTCTTGAGTGTGTGTCTTGACTTTGACCCAAGGTCATTTGACCAAAGTCACTTAAAGAAAAAAGTTCATAATTTGTGCCTGGTCCATATCTTCGTTATGGATAAACTTTGAGGGTTCCTGTTTTACACAAAGACTGCTTATGACCTGAGGGTGTGTCATGACTTTGAACCAAGGTCATTAATGCAAGTTCAAGGTCACTGACAGAAAAAGTTCATATTTCGTGTCTGGTCTGTATCTTTAGTATTTACTTTTTCATTAGGCTGCACCTTTGTTTCATTCATAAAAAGATATAATGAGCAATTATATTTGCACTAAAAATGTTTTAGTATGTCTCTCTTCTCTTAGATCCATAAAATATTCAAAATGTGGCACCTTCTTTGAAAAACCAGTGGGGGTATTTCGTCCCTTTTGGACAGTTCTAGTTTAAAATTTATATCTGTCATACTTATATAAATGCAAATGCAATGATGGGGAAAGGGTGTACAAAATATCAGTCAACCCCTTCTCTCACTTCTTACTTCTTGATTGAAAGAATGGTAGATGTAAAGATGTTATATAGTTTTAAATTATTGCATCTCATTTCTGGTCAATTAATTCTCTCAACAGGAGGAAAATCTTCAGAAAGGTCAAACCCTTCTACCACGCCAGGCTGTAGTCCTTACTATGGGCCACTTGAAAGGGATAAAAGCGAAGAAATCAGTGCCAAAAAGCCTAAGAAGTCAAAACACAAGGACAGGTCAAGAAGATCCAGGTCAAGGTCACCCAGAAGAAGGCGACACAGTCAATCTTACAGCCCCCATGGCAGCTCGCACAGGTAGAGATATTACTGTAAAATCATATATTTTTGTTGGGTGACATTTTTGTCATTTGAGGAAAAATTATGGGTTTGTGGGGATTTAATTTTAGGGATGAAAAATTGTTGGGTAGTAATAACTGTGAACAACTACATTTCATGGTGTACATAAATTTGACGGTCTCTTCATACCTTGAAAACCATGAAAATTCAACCCCCAAGAAAATTTAATGATTTCACATTAACTAGAATTATCTCCTATGTATACACAGTAAAGTTGTTTTTTACAAACACAGATATTACAAATTCACAAATGTAGAGAAGTTATCTTGGATCCCCAGATATCTGAATGTAACGAATTCCCCATACAGATATAATGAATGATGAATATAGCAAAGTAGTTTCATTTGTCCCAGTGACTTAGTTACATCTGAGTTTTGAAACAATAGGGCCTTTATATCATTTGACAATGTGAAGTAATGTCTCCTTTGCATATTGCAATACAGTCAAACTTCTTTTAAGAGGCCACCTTTGGGAGGTCTGGAAACTGGCCACTTAAGACACGTGGCCTTTTATTCCAGTTTGCCCTCAAAAAGGACATTTGGTCAATAAATAAACAACATTAAGCACTACAGTTAAAATTAATTAATCATATTTAAACAGGTCAATTTCACAAAAGCTTTTTATGTGTATATATAATAATTCAAGCTCATTTAAAAAGAATATTAAAGAATAAGAAATGTATAAGGTTTTGTGCATGTTTCTGTTCTTACATATTTATTAGTTAAAAATCTTGCATTCATCAGTGTGCTTTTGTTACATTGAAATATTAAATAAATTCTTTTAATTTTCATTTGAAGAAATACATACAGTGCCTGACTATTATCCTTTTTTATAAAGAAAAAAATACACAAAAATACAGTTTAGTGCTAAATAAAATAAAGCATAGATATTTAAGTAAGAATATGTTCACTTTCATTTGTTAAAAAATTGGTCAGCAGTGTAACCCCCCCCCCCCCTTCCCCAACTTAATTAATCGGTAATTAACTTACTTGCTGATGTTTTTAAAGCATACATGTGATAATTTCTAGACCCAGATACTGTACAGCAGATTTCAAAATACTGGAATTTGGGTGAAAATACTGTACATTGCTAATTAAAAAACTGTACAAAAAACAGTACAAAATATTGACCAAAGAACACAAAAAACAATGTAAAGTGTTTATTTTTAAATAATAAATTTCAAATCAATGTACAGATGCACCACTGCATAACATGTATTATGATTTATTATTCATTTGAAGAAACTCTTGAAGAATTTTGAATTTCGGCATTAAACTATGCTAAATGCTGAACTTAGTGAAAAAGTACAGTATTTAAAAACAGTTTATTGTATGCATGAGTCTGGTCGTTTCCATTCAGCTGAAATTTTTAAATTGTACTAAAAAATCATTTCTCTTAATCTGTCTTTGAATAGACAATATGTATGCCTAATCAAATAATGGACTAAATTTTGTTTTTGCTGTCACAAAGTGTCTCCATTTCTTGTGAATGGCATTTTCTCTTTGAAATGTCTTTATAGTTTTAATAAATTAGTTTTAAAAATCTTTGATAAAGGTCCCATTAATAAGCAATCAGCCAAACAAAATGCTTTAATATCTTCTAATTACGATGTAATTATTATGGTAATATTTCACACCTTCGTTCATGATGTTTTGTTTACATTAATCAAGCCCAGTAAGTCACGCATAGTTCGAGATTTCCGGTGTTGCGAGAGCGGGAATGAAAAGAAAAATGGCGGTTTCCGGTAAACATTTCAAAATACGGTACACATTTTCATTTCCCGTGAATTTTGGGGTACCTCCGGGACACCGTGATGGGGGTCGAAAATACGGGACATTTCCTGTACAGCCGGTACATATCACATGTATGATAAAGTCTGGTTAATTTTATTGTTTATAAAGCTGTCAGAATTTCTATGTAACATACACAGACACACAAATAAAATTAACCAGTTGACCAGAGAGATGTATTTACGCAGTTGAAAATCATTCCATAACACAGGTGTCACGTGCAGTAGAGGGTAACTAATCCCTATCAATTATCTCTTGATAGTGAAATTCACGAGATAATCATGGCATATGAAGCACTTTGTTTTCACAAGAGTAGCAATTAGAGCTTCTACATGGAATCAAAATCTAAAAGGTGTGAATTTCTTTAGCTAGAGGAAAGTATCAATTGTAATTAAATTCTTTTAATTTTTCAGTCGACGATCTTGAAAAATAATTACAAATTGATCTAACAGAACAAATATTTTTTTTTCATAAACACAAACAGAGTTCAGTGTATCTAAAAGCAATTTTTTAATTGCATTAATAGGTTTAATTGTCTATGGAAGATATAATTACCCATGCCGATGCGTTTAAAAGATGTGATAGGATTGCAACAAGTGACGAAATGGCTGCCTATTACAGTGTCAGTAAGGCTGTTGGGGGAGGATTTGAGTGGCAGCTGGCTGCGTTACACAGGTGGCTGTTTATTCCAGTTAAAATATATAGGAAAAATTGTCGGGGGAACTGAAAGTGGCCGCTGACCGCAAGTGGCCGTTAATTTCGGGTGGCCACTAAGACAAGTTTGACTGTATTTATCTGTCAAAGCAGAAACGGACTATAACTAGAGGTACTGTGAGCAATGAGCTCACTGAATAATACCCCCAGCCTCCCATATGAATATAATGGCAGTATCCATGTTTTCCTCTGGAAAATCCAAAATATATGTCGGATCAAAAAGTAAAATAAGAGGTGCACAATGGCAATATGTAATAAAGATTCTGTGAAAATTTCATCAAATTTCCTTCAGTGGTTTGAGAGGAGTTGCGGATAAGAGATGGGTACCCCAAAGCGTAGCAGACGGACGGACGGTAATACCGATTACTATATACCCGCTGAGTTTTCAAGCGGGGGGTATAATAACAATGGCTACTAATCAGGAGTGATTGATAAAACACCATCACTACTGTGCTGATCAAGTAAAGTATATATTAAAGGGCAGTCCACTGAAAAGCCAGGCAATATGGGTGGCACATCACATATTACAGATTTGGAATATTTTTGCATGCAGATTAATTAAAGCATTTGTTTGCACATGACAAAGTCAAAATTTTTTTAGTGTTTGTTTAGTCCTATTTTTGGTGAGAAAAAATCTTCAAAAATTTTCTCAAGGACAACAAATCTATCATTGGTCATATTTTTATGGAAGCATCCTCAGGTAGTGTAGATTCAAATTTGTTAAAATCATGACCCACGGGGGTAGGGTGGGGCCACAGTAAACGATCAAGTTTGTTCAAATGAAGGGCCATGCCCTCATTCAAGGGGAGATAATTAAGAAATTGTTAAAATTTGGTGGCATGTTTTAAAAATCCTCTTCTCAAGAACCACTGGGTTGGGAAAGATGAAACTCGTGTTGAAGCATCCTCTGGTAGTGAAGATTCAAAGAACGAGTGCACTTTAGCACGTCATTTGAAACCTTTTTGGCTTTATAAATATCTTAACTAATTTCCTAGATAGGCATCTCATATAGATGCTGAGATGTGTTGTAATTTTCCTGATCATCACCACTGTTTCTCTATTATCATCACAAATGTGGTTACGGACACTACAAAACCCTGTAGTGTCTGTAACCTATACTTGAGGCAGTTTGAAACAGGAGGTGATAAAACACTAGTGCTAGTTTATTCACAAGGGTCAGAAGTTTGTTTAACAAGTTAATCAATGTACTTTATTTTTCTCCCTCATCTTGTAATGCAACTAATTTGGGAAACCCAGATTGCACCATTTCCATATACAAGATTATTGGTGTTACATCACCTAATGATATTGGCAGATGCTATTTACATCCTAGGATTTAAGTCAAATAGCATGTCAATATTTTTTCATTGTTTAAGGCAACTGGTGTTACATTTAAGAAAATCTTTGTTGAAATTCCTCTATTTAAGGTTAAGTTTCATCCTATTTAAAATAACTTGTAGAGTGTGTAGTGTCGGTAACCAAAAGTTGAAAATAAAAGACCTTTATTTTTTCTCCATAAAATTCACAGAAAAATTCTTGAAACAGTGTATTATTAAATTTAGAGGTAAAAAGATGTTTATTAGGTGGAATTCTTTTAGATCATGTGGTTTTTTTCTTCACAGCAAGTACTAAAATAATGATTGGACACCCACAATGACATATAAAAATAGTCAGAAATTATTATCATGATCGAGTTACATAACCCATATTTCTTGTGATATATTGCTTCAATTGTCTAGTTGCTTATTAGGTAATATCTTAAAATGTGTTAAATGCAAGTAAATTCATTCAAAATGTTAAACAGTGGGGAAGTAATTTGGTTACGGACACTACAAAAAATTTCAAAAAAGAAAACAACTAAAATTATACCAATTTCAAATAAAGTATTGTATATTTAACTGTCTGAAGAAAAATTAGAATGCTTCACAAAATAAAAAAAAAAAATAATTGAAGAAATATTAATGAGCTTTATTCTTCAAGGTTTGACTTTTCTACTTGCATATAACACCTGTATAAAGTTACATGTATATATATTTATTCAAAGTATATTGGTTGTGGTATGCTTTTAGCCTATGATCATCAAACTTTGTCAGTTGACACTTCTTGGGTCTTTGGAAAATGTTTTTTTTCTCGCTGGGGTCGACCAATATTCAGAATTCGACCTATTTAAGGCACAAGTTCACGAAAAATGCCCCCAAATCAGTAAAATTTACGTCAATTTCAAAGCAAATTTGTGTCACTTTTGTAACTTTTTTGATTATTTTTCGCAAAAAAATTAATGCCCCGGTAAACAATAAAATATTTATTCTGTAGCTTTCTTACAAAATAAGTTCCATTAATTATCCGTTGATGACAAAGGAAAACAACATTGCTTCATCTATTAAATAATTCCTCAACGTATTATTCATTAACATCATGCGGTATCCATCTTGTGAAGTTAGGAAGTCGTGATCA